TGTCAACAGCATGAGCCGCAGCAGCAAGGGCATGAGAGAAGTGAAGAAGCATGTTGTTGTGAGAGACAAGAAAGCAGCATGCAGTGAGCCCATGCCTCAGATCATGCCAGCTCCCATTCGAGATGAGGGCTTGCGGCAGAGGCTGCATGAGAGCATTCTGAGCATGCAGTTGACAAGGCATTCGCAGTACCATGCGATTCGCAGCATCATGAGAAAGGCATTCAAGACGCATGCGAAAAAGGAGCGACGACTCAAGCGCCAGCATGAGCAATTGAAGACCTCTGCATTCTTCGATTGGGACGAGTTAGATGCTGCTGAAGACAATGAGCTGAGCAAGCGATCAAACTCATGGTTCGATTGGGATGAGCTGAGTTCTGCTGAAGCCATCAGCAAGGCCAGCATGGGGAAAGCATGTAATTGTGCCTGCGATGAACATGTTTTCCGTCTCTGATATAATTATTCTCCAATCCTCATTCCTTATATCTCTGAAATTCTCCAATGGAAATTCTTTATATCTCTGATATATTCTCCAATCGAAATTCCTTATATCTCTGGTATTCTCCAATCGAAATTCCTTATATCTCTGATATATTCTCCAATCCTCATTCCTTATATCTCGGATATTCTCCAATCGAAATTCCTTATATCTCTGATATATTCTCCAATCCTCATTCCTTATATCTCGGATATTCTCCAATCGAAAGTCCTTATATCTCTGATATATTCTCCAACCCTCATTCCTTATATCTCTGATATTCTCCAATCGAAAGTCCTTCTATTCCTGATATATTCTCAAAGCTTCGGGCTTTCTAGGTCAAAGCCAAGGGCCTGCAAATCCCTGGTCCCGGGCCGGACCCTGTTAATCGGGGGGGGTTTCCTGCTATTCTGGGGGGGGCGGGGCCTGCAAAGGGGTAGCCTTGGAAAACTTGACAAACCTATTCTTTTTATATACGGTTTAATTAGGGAACCACCTGTTTCTGGCAGCAGAAGATATCACCCAAATCCCAGGGATCCCAAGGCCAGGGATCTCTGACCCTTCCATCTCAAAGCTTCGGGCTTTCTAGGACAAAGCCAAGGGCCTGCAAATCCCTGGTCCCGGGCCGGACCCTGTTAATCGGGGGGGGTTTCCTGCTATTCTGGGGGGGGCGGGGCCTGCAAAGGGGTAGCCTTGGAAAACTTGACAAACCTATTCTTTTTATATACGGTTTAATTAGGGAACCACCTGTTTCTGGCAGCAGAAGATATCACCGAAATCCCAGGGATCCCAAGGCCAGGGATCTCTGACCCTTCCATCTCAAAGCTTCGGGCTTTCTAGGTCAAAGCCAAGGGCCTGCAAATCCCTGGTCCCGGGCCGGACCCTGTTAATCGGGGGGGGTTTCCTGCTATTCTGGGGGGGGCGGGGCCTGCAATTAGGGGTTTCTAGAACTACCCTCCCAGGGATCCCAAGGCCAGGGATCTCTGACCCTTCCATCTCAAAGCTTCGGGCTTTCTAGGTCAAAGCCAAGGGCCTGCAAATCCCTGGTCCCGGGCCGGACCCTGTTAATCGGGGGGGGTTTCCTGCTATTCTGGGGGGGGCGGGGCCTGCAAAGGGGTAGCCTTGGAAAACTTGACAAACCTATTCTTTTTATATACGGTTTAATTAGGGAACCACCTGTTTCTGGCAGCAGAAGATATCACCCAAATCCCAGGGATCCCAAGGCCAGGGATCTCTGACCCTTCCATCTCAAAGCTTCGGGCTTTCTAGGTCAAAGCCAAGGGCCTGCAAATCCCTGGTCCCGGGCCGGACCCTGTTAATCGGGGGGGGTTTCCTGCTATTCTGGGGGGGGCGGGGCCTGCAAAGGGGTAGCCTTGGAAAACTTGACAAACCTATTCTTTTTATATACGGTTTAATTAGGGAACCACCTGTTTCTGGCAGCAGAAGATATCACCCAAATCCCAGGGATCCCAAGGCCAGGGATCTCTGACCCTTCCATCTCAAAGCTTCGGGCTTTCTAGGACAAAGCCAAGGGCCTGCAAATCCCTGGTCCCGGGCCGGACCCTGTTAATCGGGGGGGGGTTTCCTGCTATTCTGGGGGGGGCGGGGCCTGCAAAGGGGTAGCCTTGGAAAACTTGACAAACCTATTCTTTTTATATACGGTTTAATTAGGGAACCACCTGTTTCTGGCAGCAGAAGATATCACCCAAATCCCAGGGATCCCAAGGCCAGGGATCTCTGACCCTTCCATCTCAAAGCTTCGGGCTTTCTAGGACAAAGCCAAGGGCCTGCAAATCCCTGGTCCCGGGCCGGACCCTGTTAATCGGGGGGGGTTTCCTGCTATTCTGGGGGGGGCGGGGCCTGCAAAGGGGTAGCCTTGGAAAACTTGACAAACCTATTCTTTTTATATACGGTTTAATTAGGGAACCACCTGTTTCTGGCAGCAGAAGATATCACCCAAATCCCAGGGATCCCAAGGCCAGGGATCTCTGACCCTTCCATCTCAAAGCTTCGGGCTTTCTAGGTCAAAGCCAAGGGCCTGCAAATCCCTGGTCCCGGGCCGGACCCTGTTAATCGGGGGGGGGGTTCCTGCTATTCTGGGGGGGCTTCCTGCCTGCTATTCTGGGCAAAGAAAAAGATAATTAATAAATTCTCTTGCTTCTGCTTGTGCAGGAGAAGGCAGAAAGGGATTACTGGCGAAGCATGATGCGAATGAGGGGAGGCGGTGATGAGTCGCAGCATGAGCAGGAGCAAGAGAATGAGGAGACAGCCATAGTCCTGGACGATGAGGACAAAGCCCTCTCCCAGACCCCTTTTGCAAAGAAAGAAGCGGATGAGAGCATGAGCCCACCCACGGACCGTGTCAAGCGACAGCTGAGCTTTGGATCGGCTTCATCAGCCGAGTCCAAGCAGTCAAGGCTGCATAAGTTCTTCCGGTCTCCGTCATCCTTCTCTGACGACAGCAGCATCCATGAGACGCCCAGTCCGCCGCCCAAGAGGCCAAGAAATCGCATGGAAGACACTCTTCGTGAGATGTTGAAGAGTGGGCAGCTGTCGCTTGATGGGAAGAAGCTGACCCTGACAGCCCATGAGGATGTCATCCCAAACCTGCAGCAGGAGGTGGGCAAGAAGTTTGGGAGGTTCGGAGGTCGGCCCATGAAGCCGGTCAGCGAGAGGAGAGGGGTCATGGGTGGCCAGAAGTCCAACCGGAGAAAGGCCAATGAGAAACCTCGGCAGTTTGAGTTGCCTGTGTCCATGAAGAACCGCATCTGCCAGCAAATCTATGAGACCCGTGGGCACCATCCCGCCGAGCAAGACATGCTCAAGGCCTTTGCAAAGAAGAGCAAGATGAGGTTGGACAAGGTGCAGGACATCTGGGCCAACAGGAGCACATGGGCTCAGCTCGAAAAGAAGGACCATGGCAACATGATGGGTGGGGAGCAATCCAAGCAGAAGCCAAGGATGAGAGCAGAAGGTGCTGGTGCCAAGCGACAATTCCCTCATGTCGTCCAGAAACTTGGCCATTGGCTTGACAAAGAACGAGCCCATGGTCATCAGGTGCTGCAGCGACACCTGGCATGGCAGTATGAGCTGCTCCTTCAGGAACACATGCTTGAGCTTACGGAGCTGCTTGAGTCTGAGAAGAGTAAGGACATGAGCACAGAGGAGCGGCAGCAGCATGAGGTGAAGCTAAAGCTTGCAGAGAAGCAGATTGAGGCCATGCATGGGAGCGAGAAAATGCTGAACAAAAGGGCAAAGACATTGGCCACATGGCTTGGGGCTGAGACGAGGGTTCCAAACCTCGTGACCCAGATAAGTTCCGTGGAGCAGCAGGTGAGGGCTGAGCTCTCGTGGCAACACCATGACTGGTGCATTCACAAGGTGGCATCAGCAGATGAGGACTTCATGAGACAGTACTTTGCCAGGCCCAATGAGATCACCCCAGCCATTAGAAAGGCATGTGTTCTGGGCTTCTCCGATCAGGTGCCACTCTGGCTGAAGTCTGGGTCCAAGAAAGAAATCATGGCTTCATGGGAAGTAGCAGGCCTCAAAAAGAAGAAGCAGCATCCGCACCTGCATGAGCCGCAGCAGACTGCAGATGAGACAGACCCGGCAGCTGAGGAGCCTCATGAGGAGTCGAAAGCTGAGGAGCCTCATGAGGAGTCGAAAGCTGAGGAGCATCATGAGAAGCAGCCACATGAGCAGGAGGAACCAGGTGATGAGTGGAAGCTCGCCATGCCAGATGAGAAGCATGAGATGGCCCATTTGACCACCCGTCGGCAAGAGAAGGCCGACAGGTACAGGGTCACATTTGAGGCCATGCAGCTCGTGAGTGGCTTCTTCGACCATGAGAAGACCCCCGAAGGCCACTGCATGAGAGGCATTCTGATAGTTCCCGGCCAGCATGCACGGTTGGATAACATTGACGAGCATGGGAAATGGAAAGAGGATGAGACATTCTTCTACATGGGTCAAGAGAAACGCCACATCAGAGGTGAGAGCTGCGGCCGAGCTCTCATCAGCTGGCGAAAGCTGCGAGATGAGATGCCACAAGCATTCCGGCATTTCTCCGTCATGAGCCAGCCTGCATCCAACAGTGATGGGATTTGCCTGCCATGGGTCATAAAGGATCAGGCTAGGCAGTTCCCATTGAGTGTGTGGATGAGGGATGCGCATGGGCCTGCATTCACATCAGATACGGTCAAGACCCTCTTCATGGGGCATCAGGTTCAATCGAGCATCATGCCTAAGATGACATCAGCATTACAGCTGACTGACACAGATTTCTCACATGCCTTTAAGGCATCAGTGAGAAGAGCCATCGATGAGCAGAGCATGAGGCAGGCGGCTCGCCGGAATGAGGAGGATGGCCACCATGAGCAGCAGTTCCCGAAGATGGGCATCAAGGAAATGGCATTGGCCATCGACGCTGCCATGGAGCACGATGAATGAGAAGACGGAATGGGTCTTGGCTGGGCTCCGCCGCAATGGGTTCTTGGCCCTGAGACCTGATGAGCATGGCAAGATGAGGAAGTGCGATCACGAGGCATGGGCCAAGGACAAGCCATTGGGGTGCAAGAGGATCCATCCGACATGGGTCGCCAATCGGTACCAGCATGAGAACAATGGAGACATTGAGAAACCCAATTGGGCTCGCATTGAGGGAGCCACTGAGTTGAGTGACCTGGCCCATTGGCACTACAACGATGGGTTCAAGGATGCCCCAAGCTGGGAGGACATCCCATTTGATGACCATTCCGAGCCCGAATGGTTCATGTGCGCCCAGTTCCAGCTGCCATTAGACCTGAGAAGGGCCATGCTGGCAAGAGAGGCGACCATGAGCGATGAAGCCAAGGCAAAGAGGGAGAAGAGAAGAGAGAAGAATAAGACCAAGCGGCAGAAGAATCAACAGGAGCATCAGCTCACGGATGAGGTCCGGGAGGAGCTGAGAGCAAGCATCCAGGAAAACTCCAGGCTCCTCGCTCTTCCTACTTGCCCTAAACCCCCATGAGACTCTCCTTCTGTCATGCCACCAGCCAAGGTATGCAGCCATGAGGGATCTGCCATCATCGGCCTCCAAGAGAGGCATGCCGAAGGCCAAGGCGAAGGCGAAGGCCAAGCCCGAAGCCAAGGCCAAGGGCATGCGCTTGGCCAAGATGGGCAAGATGGCCAAAAAGCAGCATAAGAAGCAGCTCAAGAAAGACACATTGAGCAAAGCGGTGGATGAGCTCCCTGAGCCGCCATTGCCTCCGCCACCCGGCCCACCAGCTATGAGTGCTGACACTGGTGAGCATGACATGACCAAGGGCACATGGAGGATAGTCAATGAGGCCTGTGGGTTCGAGAGAAAATTAGCTGGTTGAGCAAAGCCCATCATAAGCTCTCCCTAGCCGCAGGACGCTGGCATTTCGCTGTATGGGCGGCATGGGTCCATTCTGGGTGTCGGCCGTCAGAACTGCCACATGCTGCTGGAGAAGGACCATTTCTTCCCCAAGCAGCAGAAGGCATGGGTCAGCAAGAGCCATTGTGAGCGATTGCCAGAGGGTGAGCATAAGGTGTGGAAGTGGGCCCAGATGAGCTTCTACAGGGCCTGGAAGCAGGAAATGCTGCTTGACATGGGGCTCTTGAGCCAGGACCTGGATCAGCTGGATGGGCTTGAGCAGGTTCACATCCTCCCATACCCAGACATTCAAGCCGGCGGCATAGAGCTGCAACATCTGCATTTGGGCTGGCGAGTCCTGCTTTGGCACATGCTCCAGAGCTCAATGCAAAGCAAGAGCATGGGCTTCATTAGTCCTGGATGGACACAGCCACTATATCTGCATCATGACAATGCCAAAGTGGATGTGGATGCATTCATTGAGTGCATCAAAAAGCAGATGAGTGCTCATACACTGAATTTCCTCCCCCTGGGGTCTGCTGGGCACTGGGTTTTGCTCGTCATAGATGCGACACATGAGTCTGAGACCCCGAAAGTGAGGCACACCATGCTTTTTCCTCCTTTTCCCTATTATAAGGCAGAGTTGTGCATGGGGACTCCTTATTTCGCATTCGCTCGCAGAGCCAGCCCTGAGGTACTATGACTCCCTGCCGGATGAGTCCCAGCGATGCAGGGACTACGCTGAGAAAATCTTGGCATCCCTGCTCTCCATGGGCCTGCTGCATGAGGCAGTGCTGCCTCCTCGCAGCAACAAGGTCTTCCAGGGAGTCGATGAGTGCGGATTCCATGTTCTGGCTGCCATGGAGCAAGAGGCCGCAAAAGCCATGGGGTTTGGAAAGGCCAGCACTGGGTGGCCTTCGCATTCGGCGAAGAAGTGGCATGAGCGGCTGCATAAGGTCACAAATGCTCTCCGCACTGAGCAGACCAAGCGACTGGATGAGCTGAACCAGCATAAGAAGAAGGAGGAGGCCTTGGGAATCAAGATACTCGGACCTTTAGTACTTAGGCCCATTTTCCCTTTTGCAATTAGTCTTCCACATACAGGGACCCTTTTCTTCCTGGGCTTCCCAGGATGAGAAAAGAGCGAGAGCACATGGCGGCCATGGCTGAGAAACGCATGAGCAAAGGCCTTGAGCTGACTCAGCTTCAGAAGATGGCCCATGAGGTCATTAGCCAAGGCAAAGTCCTTGAGATCGAGGACATGCCCCAGGCATACTGGGATGAGAGAAATCGAATCGAACTCCATGAGATTGGAGTCTGCAGCCGCTGCCGGCATGCCTCAGGCTGCCTGAGCTGCGATGAGGGTAAGCTCCTCGCATACTGGATGAGGAAGGAAGCCCGCAGATTGGGCAGGAACATTGCCCCTAAGTACAAGCTCAGCTCTGCTGGACATGAGCTGGTCAAATGAGGAAAAGTCTGCCATCATGAGTTCTTTACGGTTTAGGGTTCAGGGTTTGGGGTTTAGGGTTAAGTCTTATGCCTCTAAATCCCCTAAATCCTTATTTCGGTGATTTTCGGGGATGGCCCCGTCTAATCGGGGGGGGTTTAAATGAGCTCCGGTACTATAGGGGTGGGGTCTAATGGACTTCTTCATTAAGCCCATGACATGCCCGGGACGGCCCCGTCTAATCTGGGGGGGTATCTTAATCTGGAAACGACATTAGGGCTTTGGGGAGTATATTATACTAAAGCTATCATGAGTAACCCTAAAGACAAATGTTGACAATTGTTCAGGACAGTCGTGCACTCATGACTTGCGCAAGCCCGCTACCCCTTTACCTTGCAGCCTTAAAGCCTTGAACTCCACATCAAAGACTCCCATGCAGCTGGTGCCCTTTGCCGGTCACTAGTACCAAAAGGGCGTCTGCGTCCGCCCTATGGCCCTATGATTTCATGCCCAGTCAAGGTGCGGCCATGAATCAACGCACAGCAAAACACGTCGCTGCCCCCTCGATGTCCAGTTGTTCGGCTGAAAAGCCCAAGGGCTGATGGGTCCAATAGAACCGAAGTGGCCAGTTCAGCCACGTGTTGGCCGTACCACAGCTCGGCAACAGAAGCTTTCCACACAACATACCCTTCGGCGCCAGCTGCCTGCTCGCATGGTTCCATGGTCTCAAAGTCGGGCCAGTCTCTGAAGACCACCTCTGTCATCAAGAGGAGGAACTTGTCACAAGCAGCCAACCTTTCAAATGTTTGCAAGTCACTGTTGAGGTATCTCATGAGTTGAGCCCCGTTACACTGCGCCCCAAGCGCAACGGGGCTTCTAGTTTAAAGGCTCAGCCAACAAAGGCTCCACCAGCCTCTCCAGAGCTCTCTACACGAGTTGAACCCAGCAAAGTTGCCCAACCGGTGTTGCTGCCTGTTCTCGCAAAGGTCAGCCCAACAACCTGGGTCAATAAGGTAGTGATGTCAACCGTATCCACAGGGCCTCGGCTTTTCTGGGGCTGCTTATGGTGTATCTTGCGGCTTTCACCCCCAACTGTTTAAGGGTTTAGGGTTAAGGGGTTCAGGGGTTTAGGGGTTTCGGGTATCCGGCCAACCATAAACTCTTGTTGAAGCCCTCTATGTAGGTATCGGCAGTATTTGTTAGTTTTTTCCTTTTTGAAAGTATCCTTAAGGGAGGGGGGTCCAAGGGGGGTATATAGCCTAGTGATCCCTAATTCTCCCTAGCACTCCCTAAGGTTCCCTTACAGTCCCCTAAGGATTCCTTATACCCTCCCCCCTTGAACCCCCCTCCCTTAAGGATCCTATAGCAAACTTTTGGTCGCTGGAAGGGGTGCCAAGCCCTGAACCCCAAACCCTGAAACACAGGAACCCCCCCTCAAAAAAAACAAAATCTTTTAAGAAGGCAAGTTGCAGGTCTGCTTGAAAGAGGCAGTTGTGGATCGTCACCTGCGATGTTTATTATTCCTTGCAGATATAACCAAACGGTGTAGGGTTGATGGTTGAGGCTTCAAGTTTCAGGTTTGTGTATTAGAAGTGCAAGAAAATTACGCTGGTGTCTTATGGTGTCTCTATAGGGCTATAAAGGTTGCGCTGGTGCTTCGTCCTATACGGTTGTAGAAGTACACATGGGCCCCTGCGAGGTGCTTTCTATTAGATGAGCTTTTGCAGGTTCATAGCAGCTCATCGTGCTCTTCCTCTTACGGCATTTAGGGTAGGGCTTAGAGGGCTTGATTAGCGTTTTAGTCAGGGTTTGAAGGGTTTCCACCATCTAGGATGCCCAGTAACCTAGGAAAAAGGGACTCCCTTTGTTGGTATTGGGTAACTTTATAGGGAACCTAGGACTGCAAAAAGGGAATAAGGGTACTACTGGGCATCCTAGCCACAGGATTTAGGATAGGGTCCGTTGCAAGATTCTGTTTCTAGCGCCCGCAAAACGCACACGAGCAAAAATTAGGATAGGGATGTCCCATATAAACCCCCTCATAATGAAGCCCAATAAGGTCGGGATATCCCTATAAAATGCTTATGCTTATGTGCTTTTGGGTCCCTATGTTTCGGCCTGCTGCTCGCCGAGCACGGACACCACGTCGAAGTCGCCACGTTGCTGCTCCCCGGCGAAGAGGGGCCGCCTCGGAGACACTCGACTTCAAGGCTCTGGTCCCAGACCCCCTTTGGAGGATCCAAAAAGTAGATCCCTTAAGGGGGTTCCTTCCAGGGTCCCTTTAAGGGGTCTATAGGGTTTTAGGGTTTAGGGCTTAGGGGAGGATCCAAAAAGTAGATCCCTTAATGGGGGCTCCTGCAAAGTACCCTTATTAGGGTTTGGATTAAGTTTGAGACTGCAACTCAGGAGGTCTGACATTTGTATAGGGGTTATAGTCAATGAAGTAAGACCTATATAGATCTAGGATGTAAGGCTGCGTGTGGAATTCAACCTTAAGGATTCGACATGGGTTTTCAATGATGCAAACCGAGAACCCCGGCAAGATTTATGGCTAACTCTGGTGTAAGCTTGACGATTCCAGGTGTGGAGTCTCGGTTCAAAGCTTGTGGGTGGAGGGTTCAGGGGTTTAGGGTGTAAGTAACGCATGCAAAGAAAAAGCTCAGCATGTGGCCCAGGCCAATAACCGGAATCGGCGAAGGCCAAATTGACTAATTATGCACGATAGACGCCATACAGAGTCCATAGAGATGCTGTATTATATCAGTTTCAGGCATGCCTCACATTGCAGGTCGCTAGATGCCATAGAGCTGAACTGCAAATATGTGTTTTACAGCTTGGGTGTGCCAATTGGTGTTCAGATTGAAGGGGCTGCATGATTTCAGTAGGATACAAGGTGGAGGCAGATACCAAGTTTACGGGCTGGATCAAGGCTTTACGAACTAGGACTACGTCCAGTTTCAATCATACTATATATGCAGCCCAAGTACATGTTCCACAATAAGATGCCCAACGGGCGCGACAGAGTACTGCTTGAAATTCACACGCCCTTTGCGAGAACTGGGCAACCCTAAACCAGAAACCTTAAGCCCTAAACCCTAAACTCTAAACCTTAAACTCTAAACCTTAAACCCTAAACCCTAAACTCTAAACCCTAAACTCTAAACCTTAAACCCTAAACCCTAAACCTAAGCCATAAGGCTGCAGCCAAAGGGCTTCCGCAAGTAGACGCTCAGCATGGGCACTGACGTTGCATCGGCTTCCAGCGACGGGGCCTTCACGCTCTTCAGGGTTCTTCATTACCAGGACCCCCAAGGGCTTAGGGGTTTAGGGGTTTAGGGGTTTAGGGGTTTAGGGTTTAGGGTTTAGGGTTTTAGGGTTTAGGGTTTAGGGTTTAGGGTTTAGGGGTTTAGGGTTGAGGGTTTAGGGGTTGAGGGTTTAGGGTTTAGGGTGCCCTTTAGTGGAAACCCTTGTGGTCCTTAATAGTGGGTATTTAGGATACAATAGAACTTGGGGGGAAGGCCCTCGACCCAACAAACATATCCCTTAGGCCCTAGGCACTAAACTCCGACAACTTAAAACAGATACCTCAAGCCCGGGAATCGAAAGCGCCAATCACACCCCAAAGCTTCGGTTCTATAATATGGGGGCCTGCAAAATTTTGATAGGGTTATGGTTCTGGGGGATATTATACTATCGTTACATCAGGGGCTAGAAGGGAATACTACTAGTAAGTAGCGCCACAAGATAGAGCCAGCACCAAGATGTGCATCTCTTCGGAAGACCCAACTTTGACGGCATGTCCTCAGAGTGGTTACTTAAAGGCTCATGGGACTTAGTAAGTAGGGTTACAAAAAGGTTATAAGTAAGATAACCCCACTTAGGGGAACAACAACCCAACTAAAACCTACTTACCAAGTCCCATGGTCTGGGATGTAAGGTGCTGGGTCTGCCCCTGTGTTGCGCAGACGATCCTGTCAGCAGCTCTTCGAATAGGGCTGGATAAAAACCTCATAAACCTTCCTCCCGGATCCTTTCAATGCAGACAGGTGATCCAACACAGCCCGTGTGTCAAACTCCGGTCTGTTAGGCTTTAGGGCTGCTGGTCTTGAGGCCAGTATTCCACCACAAGACCTCCCAACAAGGACCCTGTAATCGGGCTCTTGTAACCCCAACCAGCATGGAGGGCCGTAAATAGGATAGTCCTAAGATAGCCTTACTTACAACCTTGCTTATATACCAAGTCCCATGAGCCTTTTAAGTAGTCAGGACATAATGGAGGTCTGTTGTGGGGTCTAGGATAATACGCTCTAGGTGTAGTGTAGTGTCCGCTTGCAGGTTCAGGGCAGAGTGCTGTAGATCCCATACCCCATGCCAAACCCTAAACCCATAGACCCAGAGAGCCCAATACCCCATAACAAAGGGATCTAACCTTAAGTTAGGGTTCCTTCACCGGGCTCCTTCAGGGTTTTATAAGGGTTTTATCACAAGAAGAAAGCTAAATAATGTGCATCCCTTTAGAAGTTAAGGTATATTCCTTAATCAGGCTCTATGGGAAAACAAAAATTATGGGTTGGTGGTTTCGGGCGGTTCGTGGTCTCCGTGACAGCGAGGTTTTCTGAGTAAGGACGACGTGTCGTCAAAATGTACACGAGCCCGGCATCCGCAAATTATACCTCGTCCAAGCTAAAAGAATCAATACCTTAAAGGCCCTCTGGCAAATCGTTTTAAAAACGAGCCAGAAAAAACTTTCTGGTCTTATTCAATCTCTGTCTTGGATGTAAATGGACCCCTGACTAACAAAACCCTTGTCGTTAACGGCCCCCTGATTCGTATCTTATGCTTTCTATTGAATTGACGGATAGAGTTCATTTGTCAGGGGTTTTCTTCCGAAGCCTCCAAAAAGCGTTAATTCAGCAATATACCTTAACTTATAGTCCTTCACATGATTTTAAAGTATATCTGCGGCCCAAAAAAACAGAACATATTCTTACGACGCAATCGTACAGAATCCTATAGGACAG